CACCAAAAGTTCCACAGGAACTTAAGGAAAAATTTCTTAACAGTGAGGGTGACAGAGCACTGGAACAGGCTGCCCAGAGTTCCAGTGGAATCTCCTTCTCTGGAGATCTTCCAAACCCGCTTGGACGCAGTCCTGTGCCACGTGCTCTAGGTGACCCTGCGTGTGCAGGGGGGTTGGACTAGGTGATCTCTAGAGGTCCCTTCCAACCTTAAGCATTCTATGATTCTATGATTCTATACCTCCAGAGCTAGAAGAAACCTTGTACTGACAAGCAGAGATGGTCTGGTTGGAAACGTGAAGGTCGAGGGCAGTCTTAGTTGCAGTGGCCACGTGCCAGCTTGACAACCTAAGATTAAATTTTAGATTACTTCAAAGATGAAAAAGAAAAAATTATTGAGTGCCATTTGTGCACATCAGTGAGAATTTCAATTTAAAACCCCCAAATCAGAACACCTTGTCACTTGAAGATTAAAAGTACTTGCCTTGGAAAGTTAGCACAATCTGCTAACCTTGCTTCTGTCTAACTTCCTGTCTTGTGTATTAACTCCTTTTCAATTCATATAGAACATATAAGCAACTGCCTCAAAAAATCTTTAGAATTAACTTTGAATTTGAGCCACCTTCAGGCAAGGTCTTAGGCTACGAGCTATATACCTCATTATGTTCCCATTCGTGATACATCAGGACCTAGTCTTGATTGGAGGCTCTAGATACAATTGTAATACAAACTTCAGTAAGTTTCTTCCTTCCAAATAATTTCAACTCAATCTGCCTGTGCCATAAACTCTTACCTCTATAATGAATTCACCCATTCTGTATTCATCTTTTAATATATTATGATGAATGTTAGATTGTTTAGTTCCCCAGAAAAAGATCTGGGACACATTAGACATACTTCATCAGCTGCCAGTGTGCAAAGAGTACGCAGCACTTAAGAAATACACATTATCAAGAAGAAATCCAAAAAAAAAAAAAAGAAAAGGAAAATTATTAGCTTTCTAATGTTATTCAGTTGAAGAAAGAAAGTGCCTGTTGATGTGGAATATATGAGACTGCAGGGACACAAAATGAAGGTTCAGTCCTAAATAAATTCTTTAGGATGACAGCCTCCCATGCATTTGTATAGGGTGCTTCATAGCTGGCTATTTGGAAAACTGAGCTGTTGGCAGCCTTCAGGCAGGTATCCCCAGAGGGTCAGTGCCTTGTTATCCTTGAGAGATGGCACAGCTCTTGCAGGGGCAAAGTAAACACCATCACTCAGTGTGAGCCCTCTCACAGTCTGTGCAACTTGTAGCTTCACCACACCTGAAAAAACACGTGACTTGAGATAGGGTATAAGTTGTGCTGCTCCCTTACCTCCCCTCTAAATCTCTCCTAAAGAGAGATTTAGGCTCTCCTAAATCTATTTTATTTGTAGATATCATATACATAAATGTCCCCAGTTCAGTGCTTTGAACTATAGTGTTCTCAAGTGAAACTCAAGAGGACAAAGTTCACATATTAAATTCTGGCACCTCTGAATCAGTATGGAAAGGATTTTACCTGGATTTTTCTTTCTGTAACTTCTACTTATTTTTCCCCCCCTTTTTTTTTTCATATCTAATGGACGCTGAAATCTTTAATGATCCTAATTTACCTCACATGAAGAAAATACAAAACCTACCTTGATTTTTCAGTGGTAAAGGCATAGTTTCCCTGAGTTTGCTTAAAAGGTTTTTCATTTCTCTCATATCTCTGCAGAAACAAATTTAAAAGAAATACAATCGAACAGCAGTTGAAGACTCACAGTAGGGAATGGTTCACAGTATCGTTTTATATGCTGAACTAATATAATAAAAACCCAAACTAAATAATATAAAAATCTACTGGGTAAGAATTTGGTTTGAATGTATCAGCAGATGCATACCAAAACAAAGGACAGAAAAATTATTAAGAACTTTAAGCCAGTCTGATTATAACTGGTAGCTTTCTGGTCCAAATTTGTTATCTTTTCTGGATCTTGAGTATTCCATGTTAAATGAGTTGGTGGGCACAATGTGATCTTAGTGGCAGAGTATTCAACATGGTTACAACTAGCACTCAGGAGTACTATTGCTAATATTATATCTCATTATTGACATTTTGTAGCTTATACCATGAATGCAGACAGTGTTCTAAAAAGTAAGAAATTATTATATTTGCAGTTAATCCATGTTGCTTTAGCTCCCTAGTGATTAAGAGAATATTTTAGATAATAGGGCTGTAATTCTGTCCCCTCTTAGGACTTTGGCATGGAATTTGCTAAAATTTTAAAAGGCAAAAGACGGAAAATACAGTAACAATACTGTGTAACCTCACAATGCAGGTTACATATGGATATATTTTGAAAGAGAACAGAGGCTGTGAAAAGGTTCTGGATTTAAAGATTATAAAGAAGTAAACATATGTTGGCCATTTGGACAGCTCCCTAGAAAAGGTTTTAGTTTTGTCTTTTTCCTGGACAGTCAAGAGAATGAATGTCCACTTGGATATACCTTTGGATGATTTTCCCCTCTGCTCCTGAACCTTTCACATGTATAACTATGAACAGAAGCAACTGATATGAATCGGCTTCTGTGCTTTGGTTTATGAAGGCATATTCAGGTGTAAAACCAAAAATTTGGTAAGATGAGACAAAAACTATCTGTTTTAGCATCAGAGCTTTCTGCACATAGTTTTTGGCAGTAGTTCCCTCTAATTAACCAAAGTAAGAATGTCACTTCTCTTTGCCCTTCTTATAGGCATTGCTTTCAGTTATATTAAATGCAACACAAATGTTAAGCAGGCTGTAGTAATTTACCAACACCTGCAGTAACAACACTGGTTGGCTAACTGGGAAAGACTAGATAAACATTAGACAGGAATGCAATTTATTTAGGACTAAAGTGTTATAGATACCTGTCAGTGTTCTCAATATCTGTGGAAACCTGCCATAACTGCTGTTGGATATCTGTTGGAGATGACGATGTGTCTTCTGGAATAGGTACTTCGGAACTCTCCTCCACTTTACTGTCTAGAATCTTGGGTGGCACACAGGACTCTTTTCCTTTAAAATATTAAAACAAAGCACATAGCCCTATTACTTACTAATGAAAAGCTATACTCAGATAATATCATTGATGTTTTGGGCTTGCTCTTGGATAGCATAAATGAACAAAACAAGCAGTGAATGCAAACTCCAAATAAGAACTGTTCAGAAAGAAGTGGACCAGACCAGCCTGCTCATCAGAGCGCTGCTGTACAGTTCATGTTACTTCCAAGAAGACAAAGAGGAAGCCCGCAGAGGAATGTACAGAGCTGAGCATTTTGTTCGGTAAACGCGAAAGAGTTTGTGTTGCTGAGAGCAGTTTATATCCTTGCAAGCTTCCTAGGACCAGCTGGTTTCCCTTCTTTGCAGTGGCAAGTACAGCCCATGCTATACTACTCTCCTAAATCACAAACTAGTATCCAAGGTATCAGGCTATTAACTTTCTCTTGTCTTACTTTGAAATAGAAATTCTTGGAACTGAAAAACTGTTTCAGCAGGTTCTTTGAACTGTTTAAATTTTGATAAAGTATTTCTTTGTTAAAAATATCAGCTATTCATTGTTTGGATGTCCAAGCAGACCTTACTTACAAGAAATCTTTGCCTAATGTTTTCATTCTCAATAAAACTCCTCAGAAGTCATCTAACTGTATGATTCCCAATAAATGACTTGACATAACAGCTTATCATCTAAAAATGTTGTTATTTATCCTTTTTCTACTGCTTATTTTGGCACCTACTTTGCCTTTGCCAGATCCCTCTCTGAGTCAGGCAAATCCATCAAGTGCTAGATTACCTCCACTAAAAGAAAAATAAAAGGTGAAATGTTTTCTGTTGTTTCCATGAGTTAAATTGTGTCGGTAAAGAACTAAGCATTCTGCAGAACAAGTGGCAGAGGATGGGGATGATGATATGGTCAGAAGTAGTGGAAGGGAGCAACAAGTGAAGGCAAGATGAGGGCGAAGTAACAGAGAAAGAGATCAAGACCTTTCTGGTGGGAACAATCTCATATGTTGACTCAGTTGCTAGTGCAGCAGCAGCCTAAGCCTGCTTCCCACATCGTATTTTTCTTTTGCGTCTATCACTTTTTAACTAACTTTCAAATTATTTTTGGCAACAGCTGCAGCTTATGTTGTTATTTTAAGCTAGAACTTAATATACAGTTTTGACTCTTTGTGTGCTTCATTATTCATTACTTCTTCTAGTATAAGAAGCCCATAACACAATGCACTGTTACTGGTATCTCATTTACAGGTTTTTTTGTGAAAGAAGGTTGTGCTGGGGGAACTATCTCATTTGTCACTGTTGCCACAGAACATAAGTTGCTGTTGCTAACGCTGAGTGTTAGTTAATTCTGACACTACTTTCAAGTGTTATGTTGATGCTGACTT